AATGATTGTTTTCTGACAGGTGAATTCCCCGCATGCTTTAAAATTAGCAAGGTAATCCCAATTTTTAAGAAGGGCAGTAAGGACCTGGTCAGCAACTACCGACCAATATCCATTGTTCCTATTTTTGGGAAGGTTATCGAAATTTTAATCAAAAATCGTTTAGTTACGTTCTTAAGTAAAAACCGTGTGCTGAATGAAACTCAGTTTGGCTTCAGGACAGGTTTATCAACCACACAAGCTGTAAGTAGTGTTGTTGATGGCGTAGTCGAGGCTTTTGAAAATCGTCATTATTCGTGTGCCCTCTTATATGACTTAACGAAAGCCTTCGACTGCGTTACACCCTCAATACTCCTAGAAAAACTGAATCATTATGGTATACGGGGAATACCATTGAAATTATTGGATTCGTACTTAAGAGGCCGTTCTCAATGTGTTAGCTTTAATAACAAATCTTCAAGTCTAAAGGAAATAACACTTGGCGTTCCGCAAGGATCGGTCTTGGGGCCCACCTTATTTTTGATATACGTGAATGATCTACCTAACGCAATCAGCATTGGTAAATGCATTCAATTCGCAGACGATACAACGATCTTGTGCAGTTCCCCTGTCATAAACACTCTAACCGATTGTATTGCCAACGTGAACACCCAACTACAGCAATGGTTGGAATGTAATAAACTTAAACATAATTCAGATAAAACCCTAAATATACATTTTACCACAACCAAGTCCATTGCTAGGAGAACGTCTGCAAAATTACTGGGAATAACACTTGATAATGAATTATCTTGGGAGGCCCATGTAGATCAACTCTGCACAGTTCTAGCATCGAATACGTATTTGCTAATTAGACTGAGACAATCCTTAAATCATGATGTCCTACGATCAAGCTACTTCGCGTTTGTACATTCTAGAATTAGCTATGGTATAACTATCTGGGGCAGATCCCCTCATTCCTTGCGCGTCTTCAGAATGCAAAAGAAAGCTATTAGGATCATCGCTTTCCGGGGTTTTAGGGATCCTTGCAGGGATATATTTAAAAAACTTAAAATTATGCCACTACCATGCATATATATTTACCAAACGTTAATCCATATTCATAAATTAGTAAATTCAAACAAGAATGTGTCAGACACGAGCAATCACGGTTATGCCACTCGTCACTGCAAGTTACTTTTACCCGTAAAACGTAGACTATGCGTATCAACAAAAAACTCATTGAATGTTGCACTTTACAACAAAGTCAATAACAAATTAAAATCTCTGCCACTAAATTTGTTTAAAATACAAATCAAAACATTTTTATTAAAGAACTGTTTTTACAGTATTGATGAGTACATGGCTGCCCCTACATGTACAGACACGATTTTTTTATGTTAGTACCTTTGTGAATGTGACGTAACCAAACAATTTTTAAATTGAATGGGTTTAATAAAAGTTATTATTATTATTATTATTATTATGGGCATAGCTTTAGCCATATAATATGCAATGCCCTTTTCGCATCTTGACATTTTATAAATCGAATTGCAAACTTTTTTAATTATAAAGTATTTAAATGAAATTTGATACATATAGCCACTTGGAATAAAAGCAAATTAACGCCAATTTCAAAATTTGGGTTTTGCGCATGCGCAGTTCCAACTTTCTTATTTAGTAAAGCATTGAAATGAAACTCTTCTTATCAACTGAAATTGAAGTAGCACGTCAAAAATGGATTGCACATGTGCAACGCTATCTTTCATATTTGTGACCGGATTTTTACGATTTTAACAAAGTTGCATCTTACAAATGGGAAATGAATGCAAGTGGAAATGCGCTTTATGTAAATCGTTTACGATTACTTTTTAACTTGTTAATATTGAATTGGAAGCTTTGCGCTTGTATTGCGCTTACAAATTTTTTTATACAGCCCCAAAGAAAGAAATCCAGAGGGGAAGCTCTGTGGCGGTACCCCATGTTGTTGGAAGTACGTAACTCTTCGACTGTGCACTAATCTAATATCATCCAAAAAGTTCTCTAACACGTCTGTTATTAAATTGAGGTATCTTTCACAATTAAGACTACCCTCATAAAAATTGGTCCAATAATTATTCTCCCTATAATACCACATGTGGATCACTTGGATTGTCATAAGGAGTAGATTCTCTCGGGACCAATAGTGCATATTTTTTCTTGTACATGGAAGATGAAGAAATAACAGAATCTTTGTTGTAAATGTAACTACGAACTTAAAGTTATTTCTAAAAATGAAAATATGTACCTAGCTATTACCAGGTTAAATTGAAAATTTTAATTTTTTCGCTTTCTAAAAGCTGTACTTTTTTTAATTTTAGACAATTATTACTTTGGTGCCAAAATATGTGCGCATATATGCTCTAAAAAAAATTTTTGGTAAATACATACATAAATAAATAATCTAAAAATTAAAAAAAAAAGATGGCGGATATTTTTTTATATTTGTCATAGTGGGATCGAATGGGACTTTTAGTGTGTTAATAAGAAAGATCTCTTGGTATTCCGCATCAGTTGATTTTACACTACAAAATAGGGACAGTTTGTTATTACATCCCCATTCTCCAAATAGACCGTTTTTGTAGCAAGTGAACCGAAGCGAGTATTAGGCAATTCCGCTTGGCATGCGGACGTGGGGTATCGGGCACAAATGTTCCTCACATCATTTTTTACATGATCAAAAAATCGCTAACAAATCAATTGTCATGTGGGTTACGAAATTAAAAAATTTTAACTAAATGATATGCCCCAAACAGTTTTATTTTGAGTTTTAGCTTAGCCTTTTAACCAACATCGTATCGCAGCAGTACAGGGAGAGTCACGTAGCCCGTTTGTTAGAATTTTTTAACATTGCAATGGTTCTCATAGGTGGATTCCTTTAAGAATAGTATACGTGCAACTGGCATTTATGAATGTTGTAATGTTTAATTTTAGCACTGGCCTCTGCATGTTGTCACATTGATATTCTGTTTCCAATCTGTACCCACATTTAATTTGATAATGCGATAAGTCCTGTAGTACAAGTTCAACAATGATTTCAAATTGATATCAGCCTTGACTTGTAACATTTGACACTAACCGATATTTATATACATCGCCGCTGATTGCGATAAATTGGCTTTCATCGTTTGTTTAGTAAATTTGTAGTTTTTCAGTTCTTCGGGTATCAAAAACCATGGCATTTCACCATTGTCAATTGTTTCAATGACTGTGACAATCTAATGCAAATTGTACATCTTAATGAACGAATTCCGGACAACTAACAACATAATGCCGATTGCTAGGAATATTTTCCAAAAAACTCCAAATTACATTTCCGAAATTGTATGATCCAAATGTTTCAAAAAAATCCATGTTTGTATATTTCTATGATCCCTAAGAAATTTTTGGGAAGATTGAAAGATTTCTAGTGAACCTCGCGTATGCGTTAACATTCAGGGTGCATTTATTGAGTTAAATCTATCCGAATACATGTAAAGAATGAGCAGTTTAACTTCGGGTAACAACATTGAAGTAGCAAGAACTCTTAAATTTCGGGTATTTTGTGGAGAATCCTTTAAACAAATTCTGACTTGTGACAAAATGCGGATTGCTTGCAATTTTATGTGAGCTAGGAGACGTAACTTACGGGACGCAAAAAAACCTTTTAGCAGCCTAGTTCTTAGCAAGGCTTTTTTATTTACGAGTGGTAAAATCGTAGAATATACGCGAACAAGGTATTAAAACGGACACTAAACTCATGAGGTTTTTTTCGGATCGTTGACAGTAACCGCTGTTTGAAAGCAAGTTCCTTAAGGTTGAGTGTCGCCTTTGGACAGCAATAACTAAAATTATACAACGGCAGAGAATTTACAACGGCAGAGAATTTAAAGACAATTAATCCATGCTAATGTTAATAAATTGGGCAAAAATAATATCAACACAGTAGCGGAGCATTGGCATTTCATTCTTTTGTTAAATCGCGATACAATGGCAGAGAATTTAAAGACAATTAATCCATGCCAATGTTAATAAATTGGACAAAAATAATATCAACACAGCAGCGGAGCATTGGCATTTTATGCCTTTGTATAATCGCGATTACGAGTTTTACTTTACCAAACTGAAGCCGGTTTACTTGGATTCGCGATTCGTACGAACCTTTACGACCGCCAACAACCATTATTTTAAATTTGTTGATTTATATAAAGTAGCGGTTCGAAGTTTTTTAATGTTCCTAAAGGAAGCGACCTATGAAAACCATTTACATGAACAGATTTGTATTACATTTATGAATTAGAATTGGATCTAAGCTAAGAATTTTGGTTATTTTGTTTCATTGATTGGCAAATTGCATTTAATATCAGTGATGCCATTTCTTTGGATGAATTAAAATTATATTTAGCAATTAGAGTATTTTGAACAGGAGAATGTACCAGTAATTCATTATGTGGTAAAGATGTATTTTAGATTAGGATCAAATTTAGCTTGGACCCGTGATCACGAGATAGGTATTGTATCTTTTTAATTTATTTTTATAAGCCAAATCGAAATTTTAAGTTAAATAATTTAGAAAGAAACATGAGGTTCGAATCCGAGTTTGAGCATGGATATTTGTAACTTTATAGTGGGTTGGATTGGTACAGCAGCTTTGGCTGAAACTTCGCCCACTTAAAAATAAAGGCCAAAAATAAATAAATATTCCCAGAGACACTACTGGGAAGATTTCTAAGTTTTTTTTAAGTTTATATGGGCATTAGCAATCGAAAGAAATTCAATTTCTATTTATCTTCCAGCATAATAATTACAAATTTGTAACTAAACGTCATTCCAGCCCTTCATTTCACGCATAATAAAAAGACAGTTGTCACATGGTAAGCAATTTTTCGTTCAGACTTTTTTTTGTGTAAATACTTCTATCTGGGTAATTAAACTGTTAACTTACTAACATGTGGCGTCGGGAGCAAGAGGGGTCAATTTAATGACAGACATCGAGAAAGAAACATTCTGCGCGTGTATCGCATAACTTTAGCTGCCCCAATTGAAAATAAACAAAATAGCTTTTACCTTTTCGATTTACGATGCGCAACTACTGCAAGTGCAATAATTAAAGCGATGAGTAGAATTAATGCTATAACTAGTAAGATGACTCCTTTCTTTTCTAGACTTGTTCTTCGTTTCCACCAGGAGTTGTTACGATTCCTGCAAAAAGAAAGTAAAATAAATTCCTTAGAATACAACCAGAAAGTAAATTAATCGTTTAATAAACATTTCCTGGTTAAATACAGAGACTCACATGGTTTTGGTCGTGCGAAAGAAATTTTACACTTTTGATATGCGTGCTTAAAAAGAATTTAAAGTGGAATAAACCGTTTTCACTCTTTCAGCTTTAAGAAGCAACCAATTACCGGACTGTTTATTTTTATTAATCGTTAGAATTAGTGGCTTTAATGGTTGGCATTACTCAACTTCAGTTACATTTTTTTTTCACATATCATACGCGTCATTAAGATTTATAGGGCGAGTGTTGCGTTTTTTTTTTTCGTTTTCCTACTACGAGAAAATGAATGAAAGTAATCGGTGTACAACAAACAAAACTTGGCGACGTTTTTGATAAGTTTATTAAAAGGTCTCATTTGTAGCGTATTTGAAGCATGAAGAGGCATTCTCAGTGCCAAATGCCTGCGCACTTTGCAATTGAAGGGGAACAAACATAATTAAAATGTTCCAGTTTTGTCACAAAATGTATCAGGATAATCGAAAATAAGCAAACACACTTCATAAGATTTTGGACACACCCTGCAGGTGAAATTGTGTATTAATTTGTTTATTTGTGCCGCTCCGCAATTGGTGGGACACTACTACGACCCAATTCAAAAACGGATGCCATTTTTGAAATTGTACCATAGAAAGGGACTATCTATTAAAATTGATTTCGTTCAAGAACCCTCAACTGCAAGCTCCTGCTTTCATTTGCAAAAATTGCAAGTTCCTCTACTAGTTGTATTTGCCCCCATACTTCGCATCGGTCAAGCAGTTCATCAGGAAACCAATTCAAACGTATTTTTTACAACATTCGTTTTTATTCTTCAACGTGGTTCCCTTATAGAGTGATACTGCAACGTCAATTTAATTACTTGATTTTTTTAATTTACAATTAATAAATAATAAATTGATAACAGTCTCGAAATGATTTGATTTATAACCGTTAATTTATTATTTATCATTCACATATACACAATTTATAACAGCGCAAACTATTTATGGTTTTATAGTCTACTTTTACCAAAAGAAGACATTGTATACCTGCTCTGTTTTTAAGAAATACCTTTGCAAGCATATTTGAGGAGACAAGGTTCAGGTATGTGAAGCCTCCCGCCGATGTTAAAAATTTACAGATTGGCAAAAAAAAGAGGGCGTTGCTCATTCATTATCGTAGGACAAGGTTATTTATAAGGTTTATTATTCTTGAATGAATGTTTTTTTAAAGTTATTTAGTAAGATACTTACTATGTTTCTTTTTTTTACTACTTGTGCATTATGTGCAGTGTTTTGAACTTTTTTCTTTGTTTATATAGCTAAATGAATAAGTCCTTTATGTTGCTCTTCGAAGCAAAAGTGGAATTTTTGCACTTTTTACGATACCTATAAACGATCTATTACACGTTGTAATCGATTTATTGGATGTTTCAATTGTTTTAGTGTACCCATTATGTAATTAGTATGAATATATTTAACTTTCAGAGCGTGACTATGATTTGTATATTCCCACATTATTTAAATGCGGCTCTTATTTTTTTTCAGGTAGCACACATACTGCACATTTAATTATTTGATGGCACTCATATTAAATTCAATGGATGCTAAATTTTTTTAAATCACGGACAGCTTTTTATATTGCCAATTTATATAGTTTACTGCAGGTGAATTATATAAACACTGCTGGACAACTTTGTTTACTGTCAGATTATTTTTTTACCACCAATATTTGTTAATTGTTGTAACCGCAACGAGTGTAAGGTAACGTCTGGAAATTAAGGAATGCATTTTTATTAGTTTGATTACATTGTATCCTTCAGATTACCTGTGTTACTTGAGAGCTACCGTTGCTTAGTAAATTAGCTTTGGAAGTTACTGAGAGTTATATTTACAATTTTTAGTCACGTTATTTGATTTATTTCGAATTTCTTCATACGACTCTATTTACATTACATACATATGCATTGCTGTTATACAGAAATCTAATTATTTGAGTATTTTAAAGTAGTTTTCTTGAATTTAACGTCACGTTTATGCTTTTATACCCGAATTTGTACAAGAAATCCGTAATAAAAATTTTTCTTTTGGTGAGCAAACGTAAGTGGAATTATTGATGCTCATTGAGTATTAATTACAGTTTTCATATCATATTGGCCTCAGTGTCAGACGTTAGCATTGCTTACGCAATATTTTATGTGCCGCGATATTCACTACTCCTTTTATTTGTTTGTTGTTATTGTTTTCTGTTACAGAAAAGGCTGAACGCGCCCTCTTGAGCTCACAAAGTAGCGACAGGTATTTTTTTAAAATTTTAGTGGACTCCTTCATTATCCTTATCCTTAGCTTATCAAGACCATAACAAAGATCTCTTAGCCTGCCTTGCTTCGCCCTTGTGATAAGTATTCTCTCCTCTCTTTCGAAAGTGACTAAAGGCTAAAGTGGAGCCTATCCGGTTTACTATTACTGCATTCCCCTTTTTCTTTATTTTTGCTAGTGTACCAGAGCCAAGCTATTCACCTCTACTTTGCCCGAGCTTACCGTGTGATTACTTTGCAATGTACGCAGACGACACAGTCATAATAACTAAATATGAATGCTTGAAAATGGATATGTCAAAGCTACAAAACGTCAGCACTATTCTCAGCAGATGGTTCCAGAAATGGAACCTTTCCATTAATTGTGACAGATGTGCTGCAAAAATATTGACACTAAGGGTTAGTTTCTCCATCTCTCGATCAATTTATTCGGTAGATCAGTACCGTGACAGCGATTGTATCGACAATGGTATCTATGGAATTTATTCGGAGAGTAAAGTTATTGAGAGGTGGAAAATCCGGGCCTAAAACGCAACAATAACCCACAAGAAATCACATTTAACAGTTACATCATTCAGTGGAACACCAACAAAGAGCCCGTTAAATACTTAGGTATATATCTTGACAGTAAGCTAACGTCAAAATACAATCTTCTCAAAAGACCAAATGAAGCACACACCAATTGTACCAACTTCTAAATCTAAAATCCGCCCAAGCTTCCTCAATGCACTAATATATCCGGTAATCGTCAAAGGGTATGTGGTATGGAGCAACACAGCCAAAACAAACAAATTTCGAAATAATTCAAGTGCTCCAGAAAAAATCATCAGAATTGTAGTCAACGCTCCCTGGTTCATCACAAACCAACAAAACACGAACTAGGTATCAAAGATATTTCTTCAATGACGACAATTAAGTAACCGGTTCCAACATATCCAGTGCTCACATGTATACGTAAAAGTAACATTTAAATATTCTTTCGGTGATATGCTGCTCATGCTTGTTAATATATTACGCACATCTTGTTAACAGTGCTTTGTATAACACTGTAAATTGTTGACCAGGCAAAAGCCTAAGTAATAAAAAAAAAGAAAAAATCATTGTTAGGTTTATTGATGTTTAAAAGTTAGTTAAGAAATTTTGTGGTTTGAACATTATTAAAGAGCTCAAACTATAGGTACTTAAAGTCGTTTTGTCTTGCATGTATTTTATACCGTTTATGAATCCACAAAAATTGGATTTCTTTAAAAGGAATTGTTCTGTCAAGAAAGTTATTTCCGTTCATAATTTATTAATCGAAGAAAGTTTCCCATGTAGGGGGTCCATTACAATATGTTAGATAAACTGTGTATATAAAAATGTCAAATGTTTTGGTAATTTTGTGTTTGAATTTTCAAGTAAAAGTAAGTAATAATTTTTGCTAAAGAATAAGTTTTGATTTTGAAAAGGAAAAGAAGTTCAACCCCTTTTGTTGCAACAGGACCCGACCGAAACTGTAAAAATAAGGTAAAATGGTATACATTTCATGTGGTCTCTATTTTGTGCTCAATGAAACAAAGCAAAAGGTGTTTTAATATATTCTAAAAAAAAGCTAAAACCGATCATGAAATAGGTCCAATTACAAGAAATGGTGTTGCTTTAGCGTTTCTCGTACTTCAAAAAGTATCTGAACATTTTTTCTTCCCGTAGGACGTCTCTTAATTCAATTTTATTGATTTTATATGGGAAGACTGTTCAGTGACCCTTCTACATATTCCTAAGGAAGTAATTTAATTCGATTTTTCCTTTTGTACGATTGGCACACAAATTCGCCAATGAAAGATTGAAGATGCACTTCCGACTTCCGTATCGATCCTACACATTTCTAGAACTTTACATTCGGATGTTCCACATCGGCCTTTGTGCGAAACGCGTAGGTAAAAGATCTTTATTAGCTTTGGCATAGAATGATTCGCCAATAAATTGTATTTTATGTATGTAGTAGTTAGGCCCTGGAATAGATCTGCGTCATGGCATTTAATTATTATTTCGGATTATTTAAAGTGAATTGACGCGCTCTCAGAAGAATAGCTATTACAAACAGTCCAATTAACTAATAACAAAGTACGCATGAATCATAAGAAAGAATATTTCTTGGACAGGATGACAAACCTCGCGACGTACAACAATTGCTTTAGTCAAATTTATAAATAGACAATGCTGAAATGTCAAACTTTTCTATATAAATTATGCATAGGTAGATCAATTGATATCGAATGTCTTTTTAATATTCCGTTTCCATTTCCATAGTATAAATTGTGCATACATTATAGGAAATTGATACGTGATACGAATTGTCGATTTTAAATTGGGTAGTCCTAAAATTTTTGCGATCTATCAATTACGGAGCAATTTTATGTAGGGGTATTTATCTCTTTATACCCATCAACCCATTATAAAATAACAATATTTAAATAGCAGAAATTAGTGAATGTTGTACGGTTGTAAATTACAAATGCGACAATTTGATGTAATGGAAGGTAATTACATGCACACGATTCCAAGGCTGTGGAACCATGCTTCAATATCAACAGGTACATGTGAAAGGAGCTGCCCCCAATCTTTGAATTGCGATGCTTTGAGAAGATTCCGTTCTATTTTTGCAGTAACCACCCCCACAACTACTTATATTTTTGGTCGTGGTAAGGTAAGTACATGCCAAATCGGAAGCGCCGGAGTCGTTTTTACAATAATTAATGCAACTTCGTGACACATCTATGATATTGTGCCACCGTATATCTATTTGAACGGGGATTAAATAAAATTCAAAACGTGACGTACGTGCTCAGCGAGTAACTGCCGCAAACCGCATTAATGGGCATTGTTTACAATTACCGCATCAAAATATTTGTTTGAGTTTACTATACTAAAACTGATTAACAACGCAAAATTTAAGGGCAATTTTAGTAGGGGTTGTTAAAATATTTTAACTTACCTTCTAGCAACATCATTCGTTTCGTGTGCCATTTTCACCAAAAATTATATAAGGTCACAGATTTAAATTATCATTTTTTTACATAAACAAAGTTATCGGTCTTGTTGAATGGGTTACTTCATCAACAGTGTGCGCTTGCATAACGTAAAAATGTAATTAATTTCCCCACTTCACAATAATTCCAGTTTATTTTCAGATTATAATTGAATTTTTACAAGTTTGTGTTTGTGCCGCGTTAGAAGTCGAACCCGCTAATGGGAATGGCTTTAGTAGCGAAACTTACCACACGGTAGCCCCGATCTTTCAGATTGTTAACTAAAAACGATTGTAGAATAAACAGAAGTTCTATTCGTATTATACAAACGATAGGCAAACCGTTTAAACTTTCTGGTTTTATTAATCGATTGCCGACAGAGAATTAATTCATTTGCTTTTTGGTTATTCTAATTTTACTACTGACATAATTTTAAATCTATTTTTAACAGGCGTCGTTGGAGGAGTAGCTATTTTGTGAGATTTGTTTTGCGCTTTACGCATAAATTTACGATATTGTTGAACAGGAAATTGAATTTTTACGTAAGCAGTAACCCAACCTACACCTTATGAAACATTTCTCTGCCCTGTCCTCAATTTTCCGCACACTCGCCGCTGTGTGTTAAAAGGCAGACAGAATGGACTCATGCGAAAACGAAAATGCCGGCTCTTTTGTGATGCCAAGGGCGCTCGAGTTAAATGCCGCAATTACGTAAGCTAGCCACTCGCATAAAAAAACTCAAGGCTTTGAAAAATTAAAACACACAAAAGTCACAATCAGTTCAGATGCAACAAAGTTCTTTGCGGGGGTACATAGAGGATAGTGTTCAAAGGAAGGGAGGCGAAGATATTTAAAATAATGCTATTAATAGGTAAATAACAGTGTCTCTGTACCGAAAATACTACACACCCCACCCATATGTGACGTAGTGCATTATAATAAATTCATTTAACATTTTTATTGTCTGAGAAGCGTGATAGAATTTTTTCGATTAACAAATTTCTGCTAAGCAGGGAACTTTAAAACTAAATAAACTCGCTAGGAGCTCGTTAATAATTCAAGTGCAACTGTTTAGGGTCTGATTATAATGCATAAGTTCAACCCAGCATCAGCACAACCCCTAACCTATCGTGAAGCGGCGAACATGACCACAACCTCCAACCTGATCACAAACCCAACGACGCCGTGTCTATACGAATCTTGATCACAACTTTAAGGATCAATATGAAAACATCGCCTAACTTAACCACAACCCCCAATGGCTACAATATCCAAACTTTGAACATAACATTATAATCTGGAAAGTCTCAATTCAAGGTTTGATGAATTTCTTGAGAAGCAATCAACTTCCAAAACAACAACGGTTGGTGCTAAGCTACGGATTTTGGTACAAATATCATGAGTTAATCAAATCGTGTCCTTTTCAATCAACTTTTTTCGCTAACAATTTTATTGTACCCCGTCGACTATCTTACATCAGAATCAGTATGGATTCAGGAGTCAAAGAAACACGATTATTACATTTTCTAAATTCGTAAATAGTACCTACTTCGAACAAGGCCAATATTCCAGACCTATCGAAAGCTTTCAATAGCGTCTTGCTTGCTACGTGAAGTAGAAATTATGTACAAATTTGACACAAACAGCCTAAAATTAATTAATTCGTATCTGTGTGGGAGATTTCAGCATGTTGTGTACGATGGAGTGGTGTCTTCCACAGGGATCAATTTTAGGCCCCCTATTATTTCTCACATATTTTAATGATTTTGCGCATTAGGTATAGTCAACCGCACGCGGATTGCATTCTTTATGCAGATGACTCCACTTTAACTATACAACGCAAACAACATTAAAGTGGATTATTGTAAATTGTCAAAAACTCAAAATTACCATGGATACCTATCCCAAAAAATATTTATTTCTTGTACATTTTCAAATGCATAGCAAAAAACAATTATATATAAAAACAGTAATTAAGAAATACCTACTTGATAAGGCATATTTTTCAGTGCATGAATGTTTAACTGAGGGCTATAGCACAGATATACCTTACGCATATCTGTGGCTATAGTAATGTTTTAGACACATATGGTATTTTACATCACTGTATGTAATATATGATTGTAAAATATGTAAAATAATCGGTTTAAATTGGCAGAACCTGACATTTCGCATTAAGTACCTATGCCACATATGCGAAAGTTGTCAACACTGGCATTTGTTGCCTGAGGAAAGATTTGTGGTTTGAAATTTTTACCGAAATTGGAAATCAATTACCAGTATTGATTTAAATTCTCCTCACAGTATTATCTATCCATTTTCGAGTAACGCCGAGAGTAACGCTATTCCATTCGAGGCTATTGCGCAATTTAAGCTAACATCTTCCTTTCATTCAATGGTTTTTGCGAATTTGCAGCAAAAGAAAAATTCAGGATAAAATACTCTAACCAAGCTAACGGTCATGGTTGTAGAATTATTCAAAAAAATTATCTTACATCTTTTCAAAACTTAATAAAAAGAATTTATTTATGAAGGACACATGCTCTACTATAATATTATAAAAAAATTATTGTACCAGGGTTACTGATAATTGGGTACATTCGTTTGGAGAGGTGATAGAATAAGACGCAAGAAATAGATTTAACCGTAAGTAATATGCATTATAGAAAGTCAATAGGTTTTGAAATAATTATTTTAATTTTTAGTTTTAGTACCAAATTATGTAGTTATGGCAATTTTATTGCCCTTTTTTTGTTAACCGTTAAATGTTTGCTGTAAGATTCGTACCTTAATAGATAGCTATTACAATAAGACAGTTTTTAAAATAAGTTGTACGTAAACTGCACTGATATTCATTCGAAAATAACCTTCAAGAATTTTCACAAAATATTTTTAAAAATTATTTTTTCGAAATTTTTCTTTAAAATTTTCATACGATCGAAATGCTTTTGGACCTATTTTATTCCAAACGAAAGACCATAATATGGTTGAATAAGTATTCCAGCAAAAAAGTTACAAAAAATGGAACTCTACATTTCTTGAAAATTAAAATCTAGGTTTTGTATTACATGGGCTAAATTTACTCATAATATCTTGTTCTATCAGATTCCCAAAGGAACGTATCCAATTACCAGTAACCCTGTATACCGAAACGATCCTAAGGCATTTTGATTGTACAATCAAAATCCTTTTTTTATTGAGCTTTAATATTTTAATTGCAGTGAACTGCACCCTCGTTTCTAAATACCTTATTCTGTTGGTGTATAATAGTATTTTTCACTTCTTTTTAATTTTATCTTCAGAGGAAGAGTTAAAAATAAAGACAAAATAATTTAGAAAGAACGGTACGTGAATTTTATAATAGTTGTACTTTTAGATAAAATATAATACACCGTGTCAGAGATAGATGGATCACTAGGCAAAAAGTAAGAGATACAAATTGGGTTAAAACACACTTATAAAACATTTTTTATTTTTTAAATATTTTGAAAAAGTCGATTTTTTTAATTTTACGAACTATTTAAGCAAAACAAAAGACACTTCTCCACGGCAACTTTTAATGCTCTTTAAGGTTGAGTTCTTAATTTTGCCCCGACGTTTTGTCTTTGCTGAACCATCATAAATTTTTTTAATACGGCCTGGTATTGCGATATATTGCAATACACACAACACAACAAAGCCCTTTTTATTCTGAATTCAATGATGTATAGGATCTTATGATTTAATTAATTGCAGTTTAGCCTTTTTTTCGGACTTAATTATCATTAGTATTTCAGAAGGGTTTCAGTTGGATGAAACTAATAACCTGCAAATTTAACATTAGTGATACATCACAGGGCTGAGTAGACTAAAAAAAAGTATTCTTTGGAAAACAAATGTGGTAGGTAATGACGTATTTGAACTGATTATATACTATACCTAGCTACTATATATACCACAGCATAAGTGTATTTAAGGTAAGATTTTCTCTGCGCATAGATTTGGATTGTTGTTTTACCACATATTAGTTTGGTGTTTAATCTGTTAACGCTTTATTAGCGGCACACTCCTTCTCATTATAATCTAGATTCATTATTGCATTCATAACAAACAAACTGCAACACAAAAACAAGTAAAAGTATAGTGTTGCTGTTAAACACACAGTAAATTACCAACAGCATATAAATTACAACACCATTTAAATCTCTAACAATATTAAAAAGTGTTAAACACGCATTGACATCATATCTACTGGAGAAGGAATTTTATTCCCTTGAAGAATATTTTAATTCGTTGTTGTATTATTTAAATTCGGTTCGAAAAACTCCGTGACGATAATTAATAATAAACCTCTCTCCAAAAAGTTCTGAATTTGCATAGCAGATCTACCGAACCAATCTATTAGACCCTTGATTGAACCATAATCATTTCCGGTACGCATAAAGCGTCGTCATGAATCATTATCACCAAAGTGTGTTATAAATGGCCGAATATAAAAAGGTGAGTCCACCTGGTGGGATGCTATTGATATCAATATAACCATTACCTAACAATTTAGAGAGTACATGAATCCAATATATTTGGCCGTTGTTTC